AAATGAGCCGCACAGTTCTAGATGTTTCTGTTTTCCTAGATGGAAACGACACAGGATGTCCCTGTTTGGTCAAGGTGGAGCGATGACATCATCACACACCTGTCACACTGGCCTTTACTGAGAACGCCACAGATTCAGATCCAGATTCCAACCTTCACTTCAGAGCCTATAGGTCAACAACAGCCAAAACAACAGGGAAAAATAACAATAACTCCAACACCAAGACTAAAAACGACGACTCTCTCTTACTCTTTTACCGACAGGATTCCTGAGACCATGAACTCCCAGCGACTGTTTATTTTTACCTGCATTACTGTCTACACTGTTGGCCAATTTGTCTCAGTTGACCAGCCACAGTGGAGAGGCAGTAAAAAAAAAAAAAAAAAACGGGGACTGAAACCTGTGTAGGAGTTTCTCCTCAGGCGCCGCGGTTGCCAGGTTGGCTGGAATTCCCTACTTCTCTCCACAGATTCGAGCCTCACAACAGAACATATTTTTCTTTTCCTCCGTGGGCAACTACCTAAAGATAACCACTGTCAGCTGAGAGCCCGGCCTCCTCTCACTGGACCGGCCCGGGGCTGAGAACAACTGGGCACAGCCCACGTGGTGAGCAGCATCAGACAGAGGGACACACACACACACACACACACAGGTCTGTCTGGAGTGTATGGGAAAACACACCAACGTGGAGCTGCACTGCAGTAACAGCTCTGCTAACACTCCACCTACACACACTTTGCATAAACTGTAAAAAATCATCTGAAGAACAAAGTCGGAGAATGTTGTACACTGACGGCCGTGAAGCTGCAGAGGGCGCTCACGTTAGCAGTGTGGTCAAAATAGAAGGTTTTCAGTCAGAGTGTGAAAAAAAAAACAAAAGGTCACTGACCTTTTGTTCTCACGATTCAAAATGGAAGGATCTTTTATTCTAGAAGTATTTTAGGGAGACTGGAGGAGGGTCACACTCACAACACAACCTCTGTGGCCGGTTTAGAGCAGCGCCTCCTCTGGTTGGGGGTTATTAAAGGTCAACTTAGATTGATTTTTAATATTATTTATAGCTGTGGAAAATGGTAACTCATTTGTGAGTATAATTCCTTTATTCGGGGAGAAAATTCATTTGAAAAAAAAAGAGTTTTTGAGGTACCAGCTGTGAGTGTGCCGACACGTGGGGGGCGGGGGGGGTCGACTTCCATTAGAATGGATACTCTATTAAAAAACCGCAACCAGCTCCACTAAAGAACAGGAAATGTATGCATCATTATAGTGTCAAATATGCAGAGTAAAAAATATTTAAAAAATCTTCCCAAATACTTTTCTAAAAAAAAATCACAGAATATTCCTTTTCTTGACAGTGAACCACTGAAGACTCCAGTGATGAGACTGAGACAAACTCCTGCAGCCTGGCTGCAGCTTGTCAGCAGCGATAACCGTCGCTCAGTCACGTGCACGGAGAACATGAAAGACAAACTACTCATCTCCACTGGCCTGGAAACATCCAGTGGTTCATTCTGCGGTTCTCGTGGTTTTACGTTCCACGTTCTTGTTCTGTGAGTGAAATGACAACAGGGCCGCGATTTTATTCTGGTTATTCTCCGGTTGTAGTTGCTCCTGACTAATCCGTGGTTGACGTCCTGTCACCACCAGGCCGTCACTGCGAGACGGCTGACACGACGAGCATTTACATGAAAGCTCCACAGTGGGAGGATCTGATCAAAGTTAAAGTAACGGTTTGTCAGGCCGTAAAATGAGGAAGTTCTGCACGTTCGTCCCGACCTTGACTCCGATGCTTCCATTTAGTGTGTTTGAGGATCTAAGAACCATCAGGCAGAACGTCCTCTCCCCCAGAACAATCTATATGACAACCCTATCTTTGGTCCTCACGCAGCGTTCATCAATTATTGATACAGAACGACTCGTGATGGATCCAAGGTTACGTTCTCTCCAACGGCACACGTCCAGAGGAAAACCAAGAGGCTGTGAAGTTAACTACATTTGTCAACTTTGTCTTTGGCAGCCTGTGGCCCAGGGAGGGGTTAAAGGTTAAGTCCCTGTTCCTGTGGTCAATAACTGGTTTTGATTTTGAAGATGGATCTTAAAATACCTCAACAAATGTCAATAACTGCTTTTGGTTAAGATGGATCTTAAAATACCTCAACAAAATATCTCAAAATATCTCAACATTAGCTGCGCAGACCTTTTTACTGTGCGTTCAGCGTTAACGGCGCTGACGTCAACAGGTTTATTTTCTGAAATGAAAGAAAATCTCTCATAAATGGGGCTTTAGGTGGGTTTTTTTTATGGCTGAACCAAAAAAAGGCAATTACAGGGTGTCGTCTGGGTTCAGAACCCCCCCACAGTCAGTCAGTAGGTAACTTTAATTAAAAGCATTCAGTGAATGGAAATTATGACTTTTATTACAAGATTGTAAAAGGAGATAACTGATGCTATCTGGGACACGGCGGCGGCGGCGGCGGCGCAGGTATTCAGAGCACCTGCTTTTTTAATGCTAATTTAATTGAAGCAGAACTTTTAGTGGGAGTCACGTGTGTATGTTTTGAAGCCGTGATGGCCTTCACCCCTCCTCCTCACCCTCCAGCTACCAACAGAAAGAGGTTTAGCTGAAGAAGATGAATGAGTGAATAAAGGGATTTTATTATTTTTTTCTCCAGGACAGATCTAGTTGTCACTGGACTACGTTGGTGCCTTTATACATATTAATGAGTTTATATTCTGTTATCAAGATGAACAGCACTGACTAAAATATTTAGACATTTTCAAACATTTTTCCGTATAAATAATCCATCATTTGGATTGGTCACAAATAAAAAAGTCTTTCTGTTCACTATATCACAATTACTCTAATGATTAATATCAATTAATCGTAGCAGCGATCCTGTGATTAGTCAGGTTTGAAATTTCAGATGCTTGACAGCCCTGACAATGATGCTCGTCGATGGAGAGTTGTGTTGAAAATGTGTCGGCTGCTGCTCAGTATCTGTGCTGTTTCCCAGGTATGAGGAGGCAAAATGACAGCATGAGGAGGAGGAGGAGGACGTGGAGGTGAAGAAAAAAGTAAAGAAGAAGCCGAGCAGAAAAGAAGAAGAGTAGGAGTCAGAGAAGGAGAAGGAGGAGGAGAAGCATATCTGGCCACATGAACTGTGTTGCATCAGTGGGACTGTCCGTTGCCTACACACTTGAGTGCTCTATCATTAGCCTCTGTCTGAGCCACAGCACAGCGGCTGAGTCATAGCAGAGGGAGAAGTGGAGGAAACATGGTCACAGTGACATTTCAGCAAATCAAACTTCTTCTCAGAGTGAAAACCTCAGCACACAAACAGATAAACAAGAAAAAAAGGGATTTTAGAAATGAGGCTAATGTTTACATCCTTCAATTCAGCGCGAAGCCTGAAGAGACACTGAATAAAAAGCCGATAATCCACCGTCACCGACACCGGGAGCTGCTCTGGTGCCACGTGCAGTTGACTTGCCCCCTCATTTTCCATCACGTCCATCAACTCCTTCTCAACTTCCTGTCTGGCCCTCAGCGTTAATGGATACAACCCCGCTATTTCTACATTCACGCTCGCTCCATCCTGGCCTGCGGCGAAGTGTCACATCAATACGTCCTGCAGCTTGGCTCCAGCCACCGATTGGTGAGATAATAAAGCCAGCGGCTCGGTGAAGTTCTCTCTGTCAGAGTCAATCCAACCCAGTTAGGCCGACTGGAAATTGTTTGCTGCAGTATTCAATATCATCGAGTGCCTATAAGATGGGGCTTTGTTTCTGTCTGTGTGTGTCTGTGTGTGTGTGGGTCTGTGTGTGTGTGTGTCTGTGTGTGTGTGTGTCTATGTGTGTGTGTCTGTCATTTTCCTGAAGGGCCATTCTTGCATTAAAAAGCAGAGATTCAGCAGATCTGAGCACAGGTAGAGCGGACAATCAAACAATTATTATCGGATAGAGAAGGCAGTGGAGAAAATGAATGCAGTGGAGGAATTGATTTATACAGGAACCAAACACACACACACACACACACACACTCACACACACACTGCTGTACAGCTGCTGGACTGTGGCCTTCCAACTATTGATCCATATTCCCAATAACAGAGCCATTTGCCTTCAGGGATTTGTAACAGTCATTACACACTGACCCAGCTGCAGGACAGAGGTTTCATCCTGCTGCTCTGTTTAAACAGAAGACTGAACAAAAGTAAGGATCAGAGGGTGAAATGTAATTAAAGGCACAGACAAAAAAAAATCCATGAAACCCTTCAGACGACGGAGGTTAAAAACAACGGCAAAATTAACAACGGGAAATCTGCATCCTTTAAAAAATGTGTGGAGTGACACTAATGAGTCCGCCGTGACGTATTCTCTCAGTGACATACATTGAGAGCATCCATTGGTTCGTTCTAATAATAAAGCAGCCGGCAGCCTCAGTGAGGATTTATCCAATCATTAAATCAGAAAAAGTGATTTCGCCCTCAAGATATGAACCAATCAAACCCTCGGCGTGGCGTGACTTTGACACCGCTCGTCCGACGCCCTGAAAGGTACGTGATCCAAAAATACACGGTAATTGCATGAAATTCCAGCCTCTACAGTTTCACGGTTACAGGCAGGAAGAAAAAGATTAATTCCAACATTTAAGAACTACTTTGAATTCAGGCCAGTGTGGCAGGAAGAAAAAGATTCATTCCAACATTTAAGAACTACTTTGAATCATGTTACTGCGTGAGGGCCACAAATAAATACTGGGTTTCCATTAAATGATGGTGAATATGAGCGAAAACAAGGCAAGGCTTAAAGGAGTCGAAGAAACGAACGTGCTGTGATATTTTTACACAACACTTCTGTCCCAGAAACTGTCGAACAAACTAGACCGCACACGAGTTTCCATCACTTCCTCAGCAGAACCACTAATGAAGTGCCCTTGAGCCAAGCACTGACCCCACAGCTGCTCCGGAGTAATCACTCAGCAGCTCCGTGTCCAAGGCTGTGGTCAAACCGTGAAGAGTCAAAGTGCAAGTGTGCAAATGGGTGTAATCCCTGTGTCTGCCTGGAACGTCTCCTGCAGGCTGCTCATCATTCCCTGCTTCACACACACACACTCACACTCACACTGACACTCACACACACTTGGTAACCAGCACACAGTTCATAATACATACAGTCCAGTCCAGTCGCCTCGTTCCAAACGGCTTCTGATAAAAAATGACGACTGAGAACCAACACTGACACGTGTCACGAACCCTGACCTCTGACCCAGTACTAGTAAAGTAAGTCCCACCTTAATCTAATGTGATTCAAAATTCAAATTCAATCTCGAACATCAAAATAGTCTTTCAGTCAACAGGGACATGCCATGTGTCCCCACAGGGACAAAATGTCCCCACAAGTACAGCTGTGTTTTGTGATCACATAATCTTAATCCTTACTCTCACTTTATTCTGAGCCTAATTCTAATCCCTACCACAGCAGAATGTCCCCACGAGTACAGCTGCCCCAGGAGCACACACTCACACACACACACTCACATATCAGTCTAACAGCCGTGTGACTTTTTATTATAAGCCAGCCTTGATGTATGATCCTGCAGCTTTGTTCAATTTCCTGCTCCTTATCCCCGGCCTTTTCTCACTTCATTAGTTTACACAGGCCTCTCCGCGGCACCTGACAGAGTTTGAGGAGCCGCAGCTGATCTCTGAGCGTGAAGTGTGAAGAGCAGTCGGTGGGAAGAAGGATAACAAATTAATTCTCCAGACGGAGCCGCGCTGCCCTGTATGGCAGGGGAGTGACTGCCGGACCAATTATGAAGCCATCTCACACTCCAGGGCTCGTCCTATCAGATCCATCATGTCTGTGTCGGACGGCTACATGGGTTACAGCGTGTTACGGTCAATACGTTGGGCTGTTTATCAATCAAAGGTGCATCCAGACGAGCGAGCGCCGAGGCCGGAGAACAATTAGTTATCATCACAGGGACCGGTTGCTAATCTACGCTTTATTATGTTCTGACAAAAGGAGGAAGGCGAATGTCAACGCTGACAAATTTCACCAGTGAGAAGACGATTAGTGGTTCTAATGGTGCGTTCAAAGAAGGCTGGGATCTCGGGCTTTTCCCACCTAAATATGTTCTTCTTTTTTTTACAGACTGAAACCAGGAGGAGACACTGTGTTCTAAGCATTGATAGTCCTGAACTGGTATCTCGACAACAACGATGTGTTCACTGGACCTGGACCTGGATGACCTCATCTGTCACCAGATCTCAATCCAATACAGCAACGTTAGGATGTGGAGAAACAGGAGAGGATCGTGGAGGAGCAGAAAACAAATCTGCACCACAGGGTGGTATTTGATTTCATAACTGAAAAAGGCCACAGCTCAGAATAAAGATGGAAAATATATATATATTTAATGACCAAACGACTTGAGTTTCATATTAGTGTTTCGATGTTTTGATTTAGGCCAGTGGTTACCAAAGTAGGGGGTGCGGACCTAACGTAGGTGGCGCTGCAGAAAGGTTAACTCATTTGACTTCATTTCAAATTTGTAACTGATTTTTTAGTTTTACTGGATTAACTGATTTGCAGACGTTACAGTGACTAAAGTAAAGAGACCAGAGCACGAAAACCAGGACAACAAAACAACCAGGAACCACCTTCACACTTCATAAACCGCTCCGCTACAAGGCCACACACACAATTCACATGCTTCTACCCTAAACCATGAACAGAACCAGAACCACGGTCACGGTCCAGGACTGTAGTCCGACTGTACTCACAGGCGTGTGTGACGGAGAAGCTGTTGGAAGACTCCAGGTTGTCCACGTTGTAATTGAGGTGGAACGGTTTCTCCGTGGCGTTCTGGTTGGTGTTGTAGAGCTGGACCGCGAACCTGAAGGCGCTGTGTTCCTGCACCGTGGAGCGCATGAAGAGTCCACCTACAGGCGGAGGCAAAAACAAAAAAAAAAACAAAAAATGAAGATGCACCAAAAGGATGATACAGGATCTACTTTATTGTCCTCATGAACTCAAATCCTGTGGCTCAGTGGAGACCATCAGGATGCAAATGAGGTTCAAACCCAACCGCCATAAAAAACACAAAGTGAACCCAACAGTGAACAGTGATGTGAACGACTGCACAGAGAAACACCATAAGTCAGTCATTATGATTTGAATTAGTTGAACATTACGTGTTTGTTCGTGTATGTGTGTGTGTGTATCTTTTTTTTTTTCTTTGATGACAGTGATTTTGTGCATTTGCTGGTGGAGTCAGCTCTCACTTCAACACTGCAGCAGCTGAAACTCAGCTCAGAGAAACTACTGTCCCCGCACAGAGACACGGGGACAGCGGCGGTGTCCTATTTAGAGAACGTGCGTCCGGTTCAACTTACCGATGTTGATCTGGTTCGGGAATCCTGCCAGCGACTCCTGCTCCAAAAACGTCAGTAAAACCAGGAATGTCGCTATTCCGCGGTGCCACATTTTTCCCGGACAAGTGGAACCAACTCCTGGGCTGGATGTGACGGAGGGAGAGCGGGATGAAGACGCATGTACGCACCGGCTTGTGCGCAAAAGGATCCAGGAGATGCTGCGGCTCCGAGTCTGTACGTGTGTGAGTGTGCGCGCGCGCGCGTGCACTGCAACCCACGCTGAATGTGTGCCAGCGCAACTGCAGCTCTGCTGCTGCTGCTGCTGGAAACCTAAAACCAATGTTTTATCTCAAAGATGGAGGAGGTTGAGGATGGAGGGAGGAGGAGGAGGAGGAGGGAGAGAAGATCTTTTTACTGTGGATAAAGATGGGCTACAGAGACTGAAAAAGAGAGACACAGGAGAGAGGGAGCCAGAAAGAGGAGGAGGAGGAGGAGGGGGAGACAAAAAAATGAGGGAAAGATGAGTTACGTTTATCAAAGTTGGTCATAAAAAAAATTAAAAAAAATCAGCCTCCAGTTCCTCTGCACGTCACTGCAGAGTTGGCGTGTAAGGCAGTGCAGCCAGAGCAGTGTGTGTGTGTGTGTGTGGACCCTGTAGTGACATTTCCACACTCAGGTTTTGTCCCTCAAAGTGAAGCCTGTGGCGGTGACCACAGACTGTCATCTGAAACAGAGAGGCTGGCACAGATTCCAGGTTGGTTGCTATTCCTGGTGCATCGTGGGATTGGCTGCAGCTCCTGCAAAGTGATGGGCAACTTTGAGAGGTTAGGTTTCTGGCCCAAGGACACACTGGCACGCAGCATGGTTCAGAGAGAGTGTGTGTCTGTGTGTTTACAGATGCAGCTGTCTTCACTGGTACCTGGACCAGGACAGAGGGAGACAAGAGACGACCTGGTGGAAGGGAGGTGATTCCTGAATCTGGACCTTCTGAGTTGAAGATGAACTTGACCTGTTGAGCAACGGCAGACGTTAGACATCACAGCAGTGACACAAGTTTTATATTTTTTAACAAACTGTCAGGCTCTGACCTGCTGACCTCTGACCTCGGACAGGTCCCTGACCTGAGCTGAAGTGGACGGTCCAGGGCTCGGAGTGTAAGGACTAAAATATAAAAAATAATAATTTGTTACCCACGCACAGATGAGATGAACTCCTGCAGACTG